CATTCTGCAGCTTGAATGGCCTTGGGCAGGGTGTCTACCTGTTGTCTATGTAGTTCCATACGGGCATGAGGTTTCAAACCTTCTATGAATGCGAAGAGTTTGTCTTTGTCTCCCATGTCGCGTATGTTTAGCATGAGTGCGGAGAATTCGCGCACGTACTCCCGCACTGATTTGGTGTGGCGGAGGTCCCGTAGCTTTCTCCTTGCATTGTATTCCACATTTTCGGGGAAGAACTGCAGGCGTATGGCTGCCTTCAATTCATCCCATGTCTGAAGAGTATCTTCACCGGCCTTGATGGCTTCGTATTTGACCCGCCACCAAAGTTTGGCATCGCCCTGAAGATACATGGCAGTAGTCGCTACCTTTTTGGATTCTTCCAAATGGCCCACGACATCGAAGTATTGTTCGATGTCGAAGATGAAGTTTTCCACTTCTTTAGCATCCCGGGATCCGTCGTATGGCTTTGGCTCCGGTATCTTAAGCTTTTGTGGAATGGGGGTGAGGTTTGCTGCACCCCTGATGTGATGGTCGCCTTCTCGAAGTAGGCTCTGTAAGGCAGCATTGACAACGTTGAGCTTGTCAGTCAAGTCGTTTATGGTTTGCTGCATGGCAGTTAGTCTGTCTGCCTCATGTTGCTGATGGGCTAAATCGTCGGCACGCTCCTGTTGGAGGTCCTCAAATTTGCCATGAATATTGGCAGTTTCGATGGCTGCCGTTTGTCGGTCCTCGTCGGAGTCACGACTGATGTTTGCAATGTCATTTTCGGCCTGCCGCATTCGGCGGTCCAGGTCGTCCAACCTTTGCACTAGGTTGTTGCTTTGATCAGGCACCGTTTCTACGATGGGTCGTAATCGGTCAACCGTCTCTTCTAGGGATGCTAGACGCTCCCCATGATTCACCATGGTCAGAAATGGTGATGATGGCAAATGTTCCCTCGTCCGATGTCGAGCCTAGGCTCTGATACCAACTGTTACGCAACGCCTTCCTGATGATCTTTGGAAGGGCAACGTAAGGCTAAGCAACCGATGTCAGTGCGGTTGTTGTCCGCCAATGAGGTCCTCGCCGCACGCTAGACTAGATTGTCAGTGCCGTGCGGGAAAACCAATGTCGTGAGCAATTGCGGAAGCTTGAGAGAGAATTGGGTTTTGAATGCTGATGATGATTTTATTGATGACTGAAAATGATGATTACAATGATGTGGTGTCGAGGGGGAGAGACACCAGAAAATGCTGATTGAAATGTTTGATTGTTTGGTCCCCCTTAATAATGCTTAAAAAAAATAAACCAACATTACAAGACTAGTCCTAATAAAGCTGTAGAAGCACACTGAAATGAAAATGATGAAAACTAGTCTATGATTACAATGAAAAGGACTTAGATTATTACAAGGAAAAACTAAGTCCGATGGCAGCATCTTTGTCTTGCGGGTCTGCGCGCGCGTTGCTGTGGGCGCGCGCGACACTTGATGTGCTGGCCTGAGGCTGGGCACTGGTGCTTGGCATCAGGGTCTGTGCGCGAGGCGCTGCTGGAATGGGCCTGCAGCTGGGCGCTGGCGAGGCATCAGGATCTGCGCGCGCGGCATTGTCAGGGCGCGCGATGCTGTTGTCATTGGCCAGCCCTTGGGCGCTGGCGAGAGGCATCGGTGGGGCGACAGAGGCGCATGCGCGCTTGTCACTTGGCGCAGCCAAGACCACGGGACCGACCATGGCGCTAGGCATTGTGAGGCTTGCTATGCCGCCATGGGGCGCGGCCAAGAGGTCATGGGGCGTGTCTGGAAAGCAGCCCATGACATTACTAGTGTATAATAAGTGAGAAAAATTAAATATTATACAGTAGTTATTCTTTGAAAAACGAATTACTACACCCCACTCTTAACACTATCTGACTCCCCAATTAGTCATATTGGATTAGCTGAGTCTTTTTCAGAAGCTGGCCTGTGGGCACACGTGCAGTGCGACAGATGAAGAATGACAAACTCTGCCTCTTTGGTTTTGATGACTCTGATCGATCTAAGTTGTCACAACTTCCTCCCAAGTTGGCCTTTCCTAATTTGTTTCTGATTTTATAGGTTAAATTCATCGCCATTGTTAATCAGAACCAGATATCAACTGATTTTCCAGGTATATGTGCTTTTGTACTTACCCTCCTTTTTCGTTTTATGGCTATTTGCATAGTTCATTACTACTATTTATTGCTTGAATTTTGTTTCCCCATTCGTCCCCATGCAAGAAGAAAAAATTATGGTTGAAAATTGAAAATCATTATTATCAGTGCTTACCTCAAATACATGTGTTTGGTATCAGGGGCGGAGGGAGAGCATTAGCTACAGGTTCAGACGAACTCAGTAGCTTTTGCTTAAACCTTGTATTTGTATTATAGAATTCATAAAATATGTACAAATATTTAATTGTGAACCCAATAACTAAGACAAACTATGAGTTCGGCGATAAATTTAGAACCCATAAACTTTAAATCCTAACTCCGCCTCTTTTCGGTATAATATGCTTTGGGAACTTTCTCATTTAGTCAAGAACTCAGAAGGGTCTTTTTATTATATGCTGCTGATAAGTGAGGCTTTTGATTAATGTACTTGGTCATGTTGGTGAATACTAGCCATGAAATGTTCTTGGTCCTGTTTATTGTCGTTCTCATTCATTATATTAATTATTTTTTTCCTTGTACATCCGTCGATGGTGGGTGAAAATTAACCTTGTCAAGGGAATGGATGCATTGCATCTATGTTTGATGGGGCTTTGCGATCAGTTTTTTTTTTTTTTTTTTTTTTTTTTTTTTTTGTGTGTGTCTAACAAGAAACTTCTTGATAATAATGGAAAGTGATGGGAGCTCCTTGAACTCTTGGGCAGTATGGGCGGAATTTAATATGTCGAGTAAGATGAATGTGGAAAGGAGAGAAAAAATAAAAAGAAAGAATCAAAACAAACAAGAAACTTGTGATGATTATGGAAGTTGATGGGAGCTCTTTGTAACATTGAGAAGTATCGGGCCAATTTAATGCTGGAGTATGACGGATGCAGAAAAGACAAAATCAAAACAAACGAGAAACTTGTTGATGACAATGGAAAATGATGAGAGCTCTTTGAAATGTTGGGAAGTACCCAGGACAATTTAAAGCGTGGAGTAAGGCGAATGTGGAATCGAGAATCGAGTAAGCAAATGAAAGGCTTTCATAAAAATTCTCGTAGAATCGAGAATGAAGGCTCCTTTCTTTTCAAAACCTCCTATAGACTAGACTGGGATCTTATCCATTTGTAGATGGAGCTTCGATAGCAGCTAGGTCTAGAGGGAAGTTGTGCCCTGTCTAAACATTAATGTCACATGGAAAGGATGGAGAGGAAAGACATGCAGCCAACTGGCTTGACTGCAGGGCAGAAATGCCTTAGAAGATGCTGGCTTTGGTGGACAGTAATGCCAATTAAAAGTGAAGAATTCTTGGTTTGAAACATTCCATGTGGTATATGACCAATCATTTGCTTACCTCAAAAGCATGTGTTTGGTATATATCTGTGCTTCACGAACTTTCTCCATTACTCAAAATCAGAAGGATCTCTTTTTATACGCTGCAGAAGGTGAAGCTCCCGATAAGTATCCTTGGTCATGATAGTAAATACTAGCCGTTAAAGTATTTGGTCCTGATCATTGTTCTTCTTCTTCACCATCTAGATCTTTTCTTCCTGGTATACCCATCTAATTTCCTAGACACTAAAAATCGAAACCAGGCACACAGATTGTCAAGGATATGTATGTATATCACCTATGTTGGAGGATTTTGCAATCAATTTGGTATGTGTGTCTAACAAGAAACCTGTGGTTGATACTGGAAAATGAGGAGATCTTTGAAATCTTAGGAAGAATCTGGGGAAATTTAATGCACATATTAGTAAGAATGCAGAAAAGAGAAACAGTTTTAACATTTAAAAATTAAAGGAAAAATGTACTAATTTTAACAGGCAATTGTGTTGACATACTGACATCGTTTTTTTTTGGGATAAAGGTAACAAATGTTTAACAGATTTCTTATATTCTCTTTCCGTCTTATGAAAAAAGAAAGACAAACGTGTGAGACAAATAATAACTTTTCTAGAAGTCGGGAAAGTGTTTCAGGTGGATCAGGTGTTTAACTGTTGCCAAGTGAGTGGAATTACCACGTAGAAACATTTATCACCACATGGGAAGGAGTGAAAGGAAAGACATCCTCCGGCAGCGGTGCAGGAAATGCCTGAGAAAATGCTAGTTTTGGTGGCCAGTAGTAGAACGGGTACCGTGCCAAACAGTTAAATAGGATACAGTGGGAAGACTTTTGTCTACTGCAATGCAAAAGACATTTGCGTTATTGCTTTTAAGAAGGGGTTTAATATAACTCTATTTGGGAAAGATGATGGATGCTTGCAACCTCAGGTAGTTGAGTAGTGACTTTGTAAAGGTCTATGTTTGCTGGCTTTTATGACTTTCTCAGTTCATATTCAATAATCTAAATCACAATATGCCACCCTATGGACTCGATGAAACTATGGTTGTCCTTTTCACTTATGACTAATTAAAAGAGAAGAATATGGGTTTCACCATTCAGTATGAGTTGATTGTAGGGTATCAGGATCAAAGGTGCCACGGCCCATGAGAAAGTTTGGAGCTATAATTTGAATAGGAGTATGGACTGATTATATGGATATCAGATTTTTTTCCCGAAAGCTGTGAACATAAATTTTATAGTTAGGTCAAGGGTAAAGCTGATAGACGAGAGGAAAGGAAGTCAATCAGCCAAGTGATATGACTTATTTTTTCTTCTAACTATGTCGTGTTTCATCATTAACTGTAAATCTTAGTTTCTCTTATGGTGCAAGGCTATAGGCCTGCTAAAAAGAAATAGGCTTACTCTATAGTGAGATTCGATAATTTGTTTCACAATGTATTATTTTAGTTTTGTCTAGTTAATGATATCTTTCCATACACCGTTATACTTCTCTTGAGATATCAAAATATAAATTCTCCTATATGTTGAACTTATATCATATAGCCTTTGAAATACTAGGAATGCTAATAAATAGGACTCGCCTAATATCACTACCTGCAAGAATAGGCTTGAGAGTTTCCAAGAAGTAGGTTTTTAATTGTCCATGTATCCTATTGTATAAACCACTCGTGCATCACGTCCGTGGCTATAGGGGAGTGCAAGGAGAATAAAGAAGGAAGCTTCGTTTTAGGATTGCGGTGATCAACTGAAGAACTATAGTGTTCACAAACTTAGTATACAGTCATATCTGTTCTAATGAATAGTTGTCTAGCATGCAGCCGGATGAATTGTACTAACTGTTGGTTTCTTAAGTTGCATAGATGCTGGGTTTAATAATTTAAGAAGCTACTTTCCAGAGTAAGTATTCGTTCTCCAGATTTATAAGGTGGGGAAATTAAGTGATAGTAAATAAGTACTGAGAACCGGAAATTATTTTTATTAATTTCATTCATTTTTCTAAAAAGAAGAAGAAAACAATATATAGAGAAAAAGAACAAAATAAAGTCCCTAATTTCCACTCGGCAGGTTAGAGCCCACAGAATTCTGTTCATTAATTGTAAGGTTGCAGTTAGTTAGCTTTGGATGTAGCTGCACCAGAAATTTTAGTGTTGACTCGGGATTTGGCAATAAAGAACAGGATTACCACTGAAACTTGTTTTCTTCACAAAATCTTGCTGTTGGTGATTCGATATTAGATTCTCTATTAAATGTAGCTAATGAAATCTGGAAACACATCTTACAATAACCATATTTGACTAGCAAGTCAACACATTAAATACTTTGACCTTTTTCCTTTTCTTCTTCTGTTGTTCTATGCATTTCTCAGTTCGCCGAAGAACAACCACTCATCTAACTTCCAGTTCCAGTTTGCATCCTTTAATGGGTCGCAATAAGCTTGTAATGAAGAAAATTGAGAATTCGACATCCCGCCAACAAACCTATTCAAAGCGCAAAGATAGCATTGTTAAGAAGGCAAATGAGTTGGCTGTTTTATGTGACACAGATGTTGCTCTTTTAATGTTTTCTCCAACAGGTCAATTGACCAGCTATTCTAGCAGAGGAAGGTGAATATCTTCATAAGAAAATCTTATGAATGGAACTTCTAGAATGATCTTTTTTGTTTCAATATTCTGCTATATATTTATTTGAAACACATCATATAATGATTTTCTTTGGTTGTATAGTGTTGAGGATATCATGCTCCGTGTTGTGAACCGGCCTGGCGAACTGCACAGGCGGTACGTTTATTTCATATATTAAATCCATCAATTAGACTTTGCCAATTCCTTATAACTGACTATCCTTTGGTTCTTATTCCAATACAAATGATTGTTGAAGACCCATTCCAAATGAACAGGTACGACATTTTACACATTTCATACTGATCGCCAGCCTCTGCTGCCAAGTCTTTGGAGTTTTGTCTGACCTTAACATGCCTTATTCATTGCAGCACTTTTCACAGAGGCTCACACAGCTAAAATATGAATCAGAAATGGTGGAAAAGATAGCTATGTATGTCATTCTCCTTTTGCACTCCATTTATTCCCCAGGGTGGTGTTTTCCTTATGTATTAGATTTATTAGTTCATGAGAGTGGATACATGACTTCTCTGTTCTTTTTTTTTTCTTTTTCCTTTTTTTGCTTATTATTTTTCTACATTACTTTTTAATCGTTTTTATCTTTTTGCTTGGTATTTTCCCATGCTGATGATTGGTCAACGTGCTGTAGCGCGGAGGTAAGATGTGATGCTTCACATTATTGTTCTTTTTGTCTTTTTGTTTCTACCTGACAGTCTGGCAGTGAACCAGTTATCCCAACCACTAACTACGCATTACTGAAAAGTCAGCAAAAACAAGAATATTACTTAGCTAAAACCTGCAGGAAAAAAAGAAGTGAGGGTAATAGAAGTTTTACATCATTTTTGGGAATTGTTATTTTTAACAGGCATAAGAATTTAGCTTTCCCGAGACCTAGGAACCAAAGATCTCCGAGCTTTTGGTTGATTCTGTATAGTTTAAATCCAAGGATATGTCACTACAAATAGGCTAATATTTAGAAAGGAGGTCACCTTCAGCCAATAGTTAACTTATATTTGCTATTACTGCAAGCTCATAATGCGATATATTTTTTATGCCTTTCCATATTAGGCTCATGAGGAGAAGCTTAATAAGCTCAATCAAAGACTAAGTGAAGCACGAGAGAATATAAGGTAGAGGAGTTCCTCACTTTCTCTTTCCTTCCTGTCTTTTCTTATTCTGTCCTGCATCTTTATTAGGATGTTCTATTAGGAATGGTGGGATAATTTTATTGTCTGAATGTAGCTCTTGTAATCTTTTGGAGAAAAAATTTCCTTCTCCTGTAAGGAATAGTGATATTTTTCCTTGCACTGGGCAGGTATTATGAACCGCAAGTGGAGTATATCAACTCGGTCCGCGAAGCTGTTGCTTGCCAGCAGTTCCTTATGGGTGCTATGGGACGGATACAACAATTAAAAGTGAGCATATCTCAAGAATTTTTAGTTCTACTGCACATTTTTAGGGGGAGAGACGAAGTAAAATTAAGCTCGATTCATAACTCGTCCTCCCCCCCCCC